ACACGTTGATTCCCAACACCCACTCTGTTATGTACTATCGAGTAGGCTTTGATTCATACCAACCCCAAGAACATGGACAAAAAACTGCCCTGTCTGTGGCCATCCTCATAATCTCTTTGCTATGTCTAAATCTATTGTTAGACCTTCTTCATCAGTTTTTCTCCTTCACGATCTTCCTCTTTTCCTCTGACTTACCAAGCATGTCTTTCTCTTGTCTTTCACCAGAGACTGGCCTCTCCCCACCATCCTTGCTTCAAAGACACTGCCTGCTCCCTTCCAAGGCAGATTTCTTTGTTCTTGTGGGGGTCCATGGTCTACTGCATAGTAGCCACACTACCACAACTCAAAGGCATCAATTCTTCTTGGGTCTACCTTATTCATTATGTAACTCTCCCATGTGTACCTGGGGCAGACCCAGGCCCAAGAAGACACAAACTAAGCAAAAAATAAGAAACACCTATTTAAGAAAGGCCAAGGCCCATGGAAACACTGTTGTTATGTGCTGTCAAGTCCCTTGCAATTCATAGCAACCTTATGTACCACAGCTCTGAACCCTGCTCTGTCGTGTGCCAACTTTATTGTCTCTGACGCACCTACCCCCATTACCCTAGTCACTGACTCAATCCATCTCATCACAAAACCAGGAGACTTGGTTTGCAGACTCGATCCCCTGGAGTGGCGGTAGGTGAACAGCTCTCACCATATAAGGGAGACAGAAGTTTAGAAAAAAAAAAACCAGGAAAAAAAAACCTGGTCTAGCAGCTGGGGCTTGGCTGCCCAGTAACTAAATGAAGGAATTTTGGCTAACCTATGCTATTTCTCCCCGTGCATCTAACTGACCTCTTTGCCCGAAAGTTTTAACTAATTATAAAGTATGTAAAAAAATAAAAACGAGATCCCAACCACTACTTTATAAGCCCATATAAAGAGAGAACATTTTGCCTTTGGGGAGCCTGATCCTTACAAATGGTCTGTGTCAGAGCTTTCCTGTAGACAATAAAGTCTTCCTTGCTTCATTAAAAGGGCTTGTAGCACTGTTTGTTCCTTCACTTGGACAAGAGGTCGAATTCCTGGCACATACCTAGTAACTCACCAACTTTATAGGGTTTCTAACGTTTTAAATATTTATGAGACCACACGGCTCATCTTTCTCCCTCGGAGCCGCTGATGGATTGAAACCATGAATCTTTAGGTTAGCAGTCCAACATTATGCCAATGGGGCTTCTTTTTTAAAAAAAAATTTATTTTATTATTTTTTTTGTGCATGTACCGTCAAATCAGATCTGACTGGTACAGGAGGAGATTGTCCCTCCTTCTCCGGAAGACCGTGTACCTTTGGGATTGCAGTACAGCTTCTTGCCATTAGGCCACCAGAGCTCCCTGGGGCTTCTTAGTAAATCAATCAGGGGTTTTTCATTCTTAGTCTCCTCTTGAACAAAAACAAACAAAAAATATCTATTCAGTCCAAACTTATTCAATCTGTGTGTTGTTATTGTTGTTATATGCCGTTCAGTCGCTTGCGACTCATAGAGACCCTATGTACAACAGCCCTAAACCCTGCTCTATCCTGTACCAATTGCACTGCCTCCGATACACCCATCCAGATTACCCCAGTCACTGAATCAATCCACCTCATAGAAGGTCTTCCCCTCCTGCACTGTCCCTCCACCCTGCCAAGCATGATGTCCCTCTCCAAGGACCAGTCCCTCCTTGCAACATGCCCAAAGTATGTCAGACGAAGCCCCAGAATCCTTGTCTCCAAAGAGCAGCCTGGTTTAACCCTCTCCAGGATGAATCTGTTTGTTTTCTTAGCAGTCCATGGTGCCCTCAATACTTTTCTCCAGCACCACAGCTCAAAGGCATCAATTCTCCTTCTATCCTCCCTGGTCATTGTCCAACTCTCTGATGCATAACAAGTGATTGCAAAGACCATAGCCTGTATCAGATGCACCTTAGTCTCCAGAGAGACACCATTGCTCTTCAGTTCTTTGGAGAGGTCCCTAGCAGAAGATTTTCTCATCGCAATATGTCTTGTAATTTCCTGTCTGCTGTTGCCAAGAGTTTTGACTGCGTATGCTGAGCAAATAATTCAAGAAGCTAGACTACAAAAAAAACCCAAGATATCATCTTATCCCAGGAACAATAGCAAAGTTCAACAAAGTGCAGCAAACAAATGCTGTCAAGATTGTGGAGAGATTGGAACTCTTATTAACGGCAGGTGAGTATGTAAAATGATACAACCACTGTGGAAAGGAC